AGACAAAGACTGTTCCTGACGCTGTGTTGGACTACAACCGAAGCATGGGCGGCGTGGATGTGTCTGGCGCTTTGATCGGGTACTACAGCGTTCTCCACAATGCGATGAAATGGTACAAGACTTTTTTTTACCATTTTATGGACATTGCAGTTGTGAACAGCTTCCTTCTCCACAAGGAGCTGTACAAGATGAAGAGTGACCCCAGCAGGACAAAGCCACACACACAGAAGACTTTCAGGGAGCAGCTTGCTGCAGAAATGTTGGAATATGCTGAAGGCTCTGCACCTCCACCCCCCCCCCCCACCACTCACATGCGGGCCCATGTTTTATGGGAAAGATGTCCGTATCAGGAAGTACTGCAGGAACTGCCATGATGCTGGCAAAAAGAGGGTGAAGACACCTTGGCACTGCGTGAAGTGCCAGGTCCCTCTGTGCTTGAATATCAAAAATAATTGTTACCAGGAGTGGCATGCAAAAATATTGTAACATTCAGGAGGTAAGTATAAAGTCTACCTATCTAGAGTGTGGTTTTATTGTATAGTGTGTTTGTGAAATGTTTGAAATAAATCTACTCTAATTGGAGTCAAACTTCATTTTGTATGTTTTATTTTTTTTACAACAATTGTATTTGGATGGAATGAATACCTTTAGTGATCATTCAAAGTAATAAAATGATTTTTGCAGTGAGAAAGGTCAAATGGACCTTCACCAACACTTCTCCTTTTCCATATTTATTCCCACAGGCCCTGAAATCTGCAGTCATCAAGGGCCTGTGGGAATAAATATGAATAACAGGAAGTGTTGGTGAAGGTCCATCAGGAGTCTGGCACATGGTGGAATGCTCTCATTTAACATTATTAGGATAAATGTGAGAGATAAGTTAAAGTAACGTGGTGTTGAAGCATTAAATAAAAGATGCCTCTCTGCTGGTGGCTGAGTTGTTTGAACGTTAGTTGTCTTATCTCCTAAAGTCTGACAGAGAGAGACTCCCTCTGGTGGATGCTGTGCAGTATTGTGTTGTCTTTGCTCCAAAGGTTTTTGTACAGAGTTGTGGTGTTTCCTGTCACTGTGGGCCTCAGAGCACAGTAGTACACAGCAGAGTCTGTCACTGCAGCAGAGGAGATCTGCAGAGGAACTGATGTCTTGTTGAGTGTAGCATCAAATCTGTCTTTCTTGAACTCTACAGCATTATCTCCAGTTCCTGTGAAACGCATCAGCATGTACTTTGGGTAACCATTGACTTCTTGTTTGTACCAGAACAGAAAGGCTGTATTAGATGTCTGAAATGTGCAGCCAAGTGTAACTGTGTCTCCTTCAGTAGCGCTGACATCTCCTGCTGGCTGGGTCACTGTGTCTTGTCCTTTACACTCTGGGGAAGAAGAGACCATGCAGAGGAAGAGATGAATCAATAAAGATGATGGATTAAAGGAGAACAATCAGTAGCTTTAAACAGTTACCTAGAAACATGTTGTAGTTTCTATTTTACCAAAGGAGAGAGTATCAATTAGATCACTTTTTCATGTTAACGTGTTCATGCAGAATGTTACGTACCTCTTAGAATGGAAACTAACAGTAGGGAATGTAAACAATAGTCTAATGACAGCATGTTGAATGAAGGTGATGATGATGATGGTCTGTGTTGAACTCTGGTGAATATGGAAGTTCCTCTCTCTTCTATAGTTCAGGAACATCTTAGCTCCTCCCTGAATCTCTCTGTCTCCTCTTAGATCTGTATTTCACTTCTCTCAGATGCGGCTTTCACACCGGCGCTTTTCCCTTTCTAGCTCCTCGCGAGAGCTTTTCTGGTTCAGCTCCCGTTTCCCTTTTCAGCTCCCGCTCTGTTCACACCACTCACACCGCTCAAGAGCCGGGATGGTACTGCGTCATTGCCTCATCGTTTGCGTCATGACGTAACCGTTTACGTGCCTGCTTCCTAAAACCCAAACCGCGCGGAAATCACAACAACAATGGCCGATTGTATTGAAGCGCTGTTCGCTGTGGTTATCCTCTTACGAGACGAAATGGAAGGCATCGGACGACTTTTCAAGGGACGACTTTACTTGGAACTTTACAAACATCACATGCGAAATACAAGACTTCTTTGTGGTCTTCAGGGTCTACTTCAACAACGATTCCGTAGGTGCACGGTTGGTTGTTGAGATGGCTTTTGGAAGGCTAAAAGGAAGATGGAGGTGCCTCCTAAAAAGGAACGACTGTGAGCTGGAGCTCACCAAAATAATGACAGTGACTTGCTGTGTACTACCCAACATATGTGAGGAACATAGCGACAACTTCACTGAATATTGCCATGAAGTTGTGTACAACCAACCCCCTTTACACCCCTTTCCAGAGAACGGTAGACAAGAAGGAGCTGACGTTAGATCTGCATTGATGGAGTATTTCAACATGGGGGACCACTAATATTACTGCAGTTAAACCTGATCTATTTTGTATCATGCCTCTTACAATAAAATCACTGGATCAGACTTGAATTGTGTTTTCTTTTGTATACAAATCACAGAATGTAAACAGATAAACAGGTATGAACAATATTCTTATAAAAATAGTGCATACCCAAAAGGTTTAGACCAGGGGTCTCCAACCTTTCTTCACCTGAGAGCTACATTTATTGACATAGTAGTCATAGGTTGAATTAACATGTGAAATTGCAATCCCCAAAGCTTATCAAAAATCAATACTTCTCATTAAGGTCAAAGACAACGACAATTTCTTACATTATTATGGCCCACATACAGTAAGTACATCACTGAAAATTCACATAAATGTCCAAGAGAAAAATAAAATTTTATAAGACTTGACTTATGTTTATTTTACATACTGTACAAATCAAAGAATGTATGAACAATATTCTTATAAAAATAGTGCATACCCAAAAGGTTTAGACCAGGGGTCTCCAACCTTTCTTCACCTGAGAGCTACATTTATTAAGCTACTTTTGTAAACGTGTGAAATTGCAATACCCAAAGCGTATCAAAATAAAAATAAAATGTGTGTGAGTGTGTGCAGTCACCTGAGCTGCTGTGCAGATACAGCTGTGCTCAACATTCATCAGGGATTGGTCGCTCTCTCTTTGGATGTGTTATGAACAATTTAGTGCTAACCTCAGCTTTATGTCATTACATTTGTGCTGGGTAAGGGCACAGTACATTTGAGTTTGTTTCCTTCACTTAGATTTATGTCAGTATTTTATATCCTAACTTCTTTCTAAAGAGAAATAGGAATAAAATAAATGGTGTGCCTTGCTCCAGCTTGACAATGACACATTTATTTTAGATAACACAGGTAACGATTCCATTTAGCATCATTTTGTTTAAAGAATGCATGGCAGAATCAGACTTAGCATACAAGTAGTCATACTTGTCATCTACCACTGTTTTAGTTCAGTGTTTTATCATAGTGACATTAGCTAGTTTGCAGTGGATCACTGAAAAAATAAAATGTAATAAGACATGACTTTTCACTTATGTTTATTTTACATACAAATCAAAGAATCAGAAGTATGGACAATATTTGTACTGTATATTATATAATAAAGAGTATTTAAAAAATAATGTATACAAAGTATTCACAAAAAAGTGTGGAGAACATACTGTATATACTATAACTAAGTGTATTTAAAAAAGAATGTATACAAGTATTCACAAAAAAGTGTGGAGAACATACTGTATATACTATAACTAAGTGTATTTAAAAAAGAATGTATACAAGTATTCACAAAAAAGTGTGGAGAACATACTGTATATATTATATAACTAAGTGTATTTAAAAATTATGTACACAAAAGGGGCATGAACAATGGAGATACAAAAATAATGTCATTGTTTGCTGTTGGCCTCCATCACCTTCACCATCCTGTCTAACAAGCCAAACATGTGGCTGTCCTGCTCGGCCTTTGCGATTCTGGCGAGTCCGTCGATCCGGCTCTGCTCGATTCTGCTCTGCTCTGTGACGTTGAAGATCCGTAGGAACTCAGCATTGCCGTTCTGCACCTCCTGAAGCATCGCCTGGCTATGCTCCAGTAGCTCTTCGTCCCTGGCTTCACTCCTCTCCAATAACGGGACAAGGCCAGAAGACGAATCCCGCTTCCTTTTAACTACAAAGGGAAAAATAATAATGAGGTCAACACCGTGTTCATGGCATTCTATGAGGTGTAAACTATATACTGTGTAATGAAATGTTTTATTGTTATTATGGCTGCAGTTGCACAACTTGAAGAACTACTACAATGACAATGCCATGATAAATGGCAACAGGGAACAGTATTACCATTATGAACACTGTAAACCTTACCCTGTTTGTTACGGCCCACTGGCTGGGTTAGGGTCACCAGAGATTCCTGGGAAGAGCTGCTTGTTGTGGCAAGAGACCCAAGCATGTGCACGGGAGAGCTACACGACGACGGTGGTGGTGGTTCCGACTCACTGCACTCCAAACGAGATATGCCTGTAAACACAATATAAACACAATGAACAAAAGTAGCCCTTCAACAAATCATACATCGTTAGTGAGAAGAAAGAAGATACATTGGAGGCGTTCGCTGTCTTTGCCATGGGGATACCTTTGTTTATTATTGTTAGCATTAGCATGCTAGCGCATGGGTGCCGACCCGGTAGCTGTAGTAGGTAAACTTTAGCTATTATTGCCAGGTCTGTCTATAGCTACATGGTTTAGTTTATGTTGTAAAACAAAAAGGCACAAATAACACAAATCAGTAATGCATAACTCATCAGCATTAAATGACTCGTCCTCCAACCCAATTGACGAGAGACAAAGCGAATTCACGGTGCATCCCACACCACTCGTCGGTCTGTCTCCGAGGACCGAGTTTAGCAAGTCAAAATGTGGACTTGTTTTCGTACGACCGCTGCCACTCCGTCCGAGCTCTTTCTTTTGGTCCCGATAATCCTTCTTCAGTTTTTTTAATTTGTTGCTAATTTGTAAAATGCTACGGTCATAACCAGCGGACGCCATCTCTCGCTTCAATTGCTGCAGAATGGCTTTGGCCCGCGTGCTCCCCTCCAGCTTCCTCCTGGGTAACAGATCCAAAGGCAGTCTGTAAATAAAAAGTCAGAGGACCTAGGATTGAACCCTGTGGTACACCACATGAAATCACAGACTGACAGAAAAATAGAAACACTTATTTTAAGTTCTTGGAGACTACATTATATTTAAACCTGTGAGAAAAAGGCCAGATTCACTGATTGATTTAAACATTTGAACCTGTGGATGTGACTCAAAGGCAGTACATGTATTTGTATGGTAGTGAACAATAGTTCATACATTTCAAATGATCAAGCAGGTAAATTACATTACTGTATGATCACAAACTATTGAGTTTGAACAGAGAGAGACTCCCTCTGGTGGATGCTGTGCAGTATTGTGTTGTCTTTGCTCCAGAGGTTTTTGTACAGAGTTGTGGTGTTTCCTGTCACTGTGGGCCTCAGAGCACAGTAGTACACAGCAGAGTCTGTCACTGCAGCAGGGGAGATCTGCAGAGGAACTGATGTCTTGTTGAGTGTAGCATCAAATCTGTCTTTCTGGAACTCTTCAGCATTATCTCCAGTTCCCGAGAAACGCATCAGCATGTACTTTGGGTAACCATTGACTTCTTGTTTGTACCAGAACAGAAAGGCTGTATTAGATGTCTCAAATGTGCAGTCAAGTGTAACTGTGTCTCCTTCAGTAGCGCTGACATCTCCTGCTGGCTGGGTCACTGTGTCTTGTCCTTTACACTCTGGGGAAGAAGAGACCATGCAGAGGAAGAGATGAATCAATAAAGATGATGGATTAAAGGAGAACAATCAGTAGCTTTAAACAGTTACCTAGAAACATGTTGTAGTTTCTATCTTACCAAAGGAGAGAGCAGCAAGAATAATCCACAGCCAATGTTCCATCTCTACAACAAGGTTTAAATCAGCAGCAGGAAGTAGCTGATGTTCAGCATTCAGTGTGAGGATGGTTCTCTTCACAGCAGCACTTCTTATTGACTGGATGGTTGAACACAGTGCAGAAGACATGCACCGCCTACTTGATAATGTGGCCCTCTAGTGGAGGTGAACAGCTCAGTACAACAGTGTGGAGAAAAGGCTTCCAGCAGCTTGTCAGTGTGTCAGCTGGTGTTTGTGTACAGAGTGTTGGTGTTTCCTGTCACTGTGGGCCTCACAGCACAGTAGAACACAGCAGAGTCTGTCACTGCAGCAGAGGAGATGCTCAGATTGATTTGGTTTGACTCCACTGTAATATTCAGTCCAGGGATCAGATTATTCATAATGTTTCCAGTTCCTAAATGAGAGAAGATGAACTCTGGTGGTTTTCCTGGATATTGTCGATACCAGAAGAAACTATCACCACCAGCTGCTTGTTTGGAGTATCTGTAGGACAGAGTAACAGAGCTGCCTTCTGGTCTGAACTCTTCTTTCTGTAATGCAGTGAGATCTTCACAGCTGACCCCTGAAGAGAGGAGTAATTCAAAAGACTCAGTTAATAGATCACATTTGATCAACATAAGAAGTTAACGTTTACATGCAGAATGTTACGTACCACTTAGAATGGAAACTAACAGTAGGGAATGTAAATAATAGTCTAATGACAGCATGTTGAATGAAGGTGATAATGATGATGGTCTGTGTTGAACTCTGGTGAATATGGAAGTTCCTCTCTCTTCTATAGTTCAGGAACATCTTAGCTCCTCCCTGAATCTCTCTGTCTCCTCTTAGATCTGTATTTCACTTCTCTCACTTACACTTCCTGCTGGGTAACAGATCCAAAGGCTGTCTGTAAATAAAAAGTCAGAGGACCTAGGATTGAACCCTGTGGTACACCACAATAAATTACAGACCACCAGAGTAACTTATTTTATAAAGATAAGAACAAAAGCAATCAAAACTTGAGTGTGTGATGTGTACCAGTTTATTGAGAGAGGTGATTTAAAGTGTTTGATCAGTTAGTAAATAAAAACGTAATAAGAACAATGACGGGCGTTAACGTGAAGTCAGATTAGTGGGAGGTGCTTCATCGAGAGAGAAATCTGTTTAAAATGATCTTAATCTAAGAAGAATTGTACTTCATACCCAAGTTTTAAAATGTCTTGAACACCACAACACAAGCTGCTGTTCCAATAGAACCTATAATCACATTGTGCTTAAAGATAAACTGAATCCAATGATAAAGTGGGAGGACCTAGGATTGAACCCTGTGGTACACCACATGAAATCACAGACTGACAGAAAAACTGAAAAAAACGTATTTTAAGTTCATGGAGACATTATATCTTTAATGTTTGATAATAGGTCAGATTGCCTGATTGAGTTAAACAATTGTACCTGTTGATGTGAATCAAAGGCAGTACATGTATTTGTATGTTAGGGAACAATTATACATAGAATTCAAAATATCAAGCATGTAAACTACATTACTGTATCGTCACAAACTATTGATGTTTAACAGAGAGAGACTCCCTCTGGTGGATGCTGTGCAGTATTGTGTTGTCTTTGCTCCAAAGGTTTTTGTACAGAGTGTTGGTGTTTCCTGTCACTGTGGGCCTCAGAGCACAGTAGTACACAGCAGAGTCTGTCACTTTAGCTGAGATGATCTCAAGATCAACTCGTTTCTCTGTTTTGTCAATGTGAGCAGAGAAATCAGATTCAGTGGGATGGATCCCTCCTGCCTCTGTGATGTAGAGCAGGAACTCTGGTCTGGATCTCTGGTATTGTCGGTACCACTGGATATTGTAGATAGTCCCCTCATATTTACATGTCAGGCTGATGTTTCTGCCCTCTGCAACATGTTCTTCACTTCTTTCTGGCTTTATGCTGTTCATGGAGCCCAGGGCTGCAAAATGAGAATTATTCATGTCAGTTAGTCTGCAGGAGATTTTAACATTAAGAGACTCAACGGAGGGTCTTCAATTTCCTGTCATCTTTGATCAGTTTGAGATAAAACATGACCAAATGTCTTCATAGATCACAACGGTTGCTGCCTTACACAATCAAACCTCCAGTTATGAAATCTCTGGCTAATACAGCGGGTTAAATGAGACTTTATCTCTGTTCCAACACTCACCTATGAAGAGAGAGAAGAGTAACCAGAGGTAAAGCAACATGTCTTTGGAGATGGTAAAGTCGAACAGTCAGCAGATGAGTTCTCCTCCTGCAGAAGTGAAGCAGGAAACAGCCTCTCTGCTGCTCAGCCCTTCTCCTCAACATCAGATGATTGTGCTTTTAGTTCCTCAAACATCTCACAAATCATCTCATTGGTTGATATAAACGTCAGTGGGCGGGGCCAGAGAATCATGTTTTACTCGTTTTAAACCATCAAAATACTTTTCTCATATTAAAAACAGTTAGTTCTCTTTGTGTTTCTCACTGACTCATACATTGAAATGTACAAAAACGTAGCAATAACAATGACGGGCGTTAACGTGAAGTCAGATTAGTGAGAGGTGTTTCATCTAGAGAGAAATCTGTTTAAAAATATCTTAATCTAATGAGAATATTGATTCACAGGTGTCATTTAAAAGGTCTTGAACACCACAACACAAGCTGCTGTTCCAATAGAACCTATTTTCAGATTGTGCTTAGAGATAAACTGAATCCAATGACAAAATGAGAGGACCTTAGATTGAACCCTGTGGTACACCATATGAAATCACAGACTGACAAAAAAAACTTATTTTAATTACTAATTAAGCACTTACATACTAACAAAGCACTTATATACTAATAAAGGACTGGCTTATCTAAAGCCAGTTGAGTAGCACATGAAATGTTTTGGCTCTATGAAACCAGAGGCCTGTACTACGAAGCCGGATTGTCGCTTAGCCAGCTGACTTCAGGGAAAACTCTGGCTTTCCGGTCCTACAACGCTGGTTCTCTTTTTAGCGGGCTAGATCTCCATGGTAACTTATGCTGAGCGGCTAACCTCCTCGGAAGTATTATTTTAAGCAACACATTAAGTTGACGAAACACTCGAGTCAAATGTAATTAAAGTCAGATCCACTCGTGTCTTGGACGGGGCAGTGATATCATAAACCTGTTAATGTACGCATTCAAACACTTTCTCTGTTACCAGCTGTATTCACCTTGCAGGTGCAGCTATGTGGCTTTGATCCTGGATAAAGTGTTTAAGTCATGGATGTTTAAAGTTTAACTTCTTCATATTTGACTAATATTAAAGTTCACTTTTCATTCAGGAAGTATGACGCTGCGCTGTCAGTACGCTTGTCCATGTTTGTGATTGGTCGAATGCTCCAAATACCACCCCTTTCATGTGAACGCGCACCTAACTAGATAGGACACGGCTGGCTTGAGCGATCCACTTGATAACCAGCGTCGTAGTACAGCTTAGCGAGAGTGCGTATGTTTTGGATTGGGCCAACCGGCTAACTCAAACATATCCAGGTTAGGAAAATCCGGCTTCGGAGTACAGGCCTCTGATGTACTTATATGATTCTGTTTTCTTCAAGTTTGTATCTTCTTGGTCGAATGCACTTATTGTAAGTCGCTTTGGATAAAAGCGTCAGCTAAATGCAATCTAATGTAATGTAATGTTAAGTTCATTAAGACTACTTAATTGTATTTTAACCTGTGATGAAAGGCCAGATTCACTGACTGAGTTAATTATTTGAACCTGTGGATGTGAATCAAAGGCAGTCCATGTGTTTGTATAGTGTGCAGCTGCTCCTCACCTGTGGAATTCCCTCCCAGACCACCTGAGGACTCCACAGACCACTGACGCCTTCAGAAAAGGCCTAAAAACCTTTCTTTTTAAAAAAGCTTTTGATTAAACTTTTGTTTCTTTTGTTTGTTTTTATTATGCCTCCTGTAGCACCTTGGGATTGCTGTTAGCAATGAAAGGTGCTTTAAAAATCGAATTGATTATTATTATTATTAGTAGTGTAAGAGTCGGGAGTCATCCGATATAATTTATTCCGAACTTAAATTACTCAGACCTCCTAATTGACCTAACCGAAGTTATTGAGTCTATGTAAGTTTACTGCTTGGCTCAGATCCACCAACGGTCAGCAAGATCTCACCTCTATTAACTCCCCGAAGAACCAGGTTCAATTAACTGCTGTTTCAATTCAGACAACCCCCTAAATCTGTTTAAGCAATCCCGAAGGACTTTGATATCAGTAAATGAGGTGTGGCCCTACCTAAGTGTGAGTGTGGCAGGGTGCGATCTTACCTTTCAAGCAGGAGAGGAGAGCGCAGTTGTCTTTTAAGTTGTCCCAATCCAAAAGGTGGGATCAGTTTATTTGAAGAAAAATAGGTCCAAACTAATACAGGGTTTTTGCCTTCTCTCTTTACAACATTATAATCATACTAAACCTATCATGCTGTGATCATGTTCTAATATGAAACTTTAATTCACAGTTTTACATTTATTACCAAAATTGTAACTTCAACTGCCCAATTCAGTTGTGACATTTAAAATCTCCCTTTAGAAATTAGAGGCTTTTCCTCATAAAAGACCGTTGTTAAAAGATCGTTGTTAATAAAAAGCACATTCAAACTTTCTTTCACCAAATTAGTTCACATCAATTCCATACCTTTTTTCCGACACAGATGGCGGGCACCTAGTGTTTCGCACAGATGGCGCAGAAGTTTAATTCACAAACACATACCTATTTCCCAAACACAGATGGTGGGTTCTAACATTCACACACCCATAGCGCAGAAGTTTCACCTAGTGTTTCGCACAGATGGCGGGTACCTAGTGTTTCGCACAGATGGCGCAGACCTTTCACCTAGTGTTTCGCACAGATGGCGGGTACCTAGTGTTTCGCCTAGATGGCGGGAAAGTGTAACCTAGAGTTTCGCTCAGATGGCGGAAAGTGTAACCTAGAGTTTCGCTCAGATGGCGGAAAGTGTAACCTAGAGTTTCGCTCAGATGGCGGAAAGTTTCATTCACAAACACATACCTATTTCCCAAACGCAGATGGTGGGTACTAACATTCACAAACACATACCTATTTCCCAAACGCAGATGGTGGGTACTAACATTCACAAACACATACCTATTTCCCAAACACAGATGGTGGGTACTAACATTCACAAACACATACCTATTTCCCAAACGCAGATGGTGGGTACTAACATTCACAAACACATACCTATTTCCAAAACGCAGATGGTGGGTACTAACATTCACAAACACATACCTATTTCCCAAACGCAGATGGTGGGTACTAACATTCACACACCCATAGATTTACGCAATAGTTACCAAGTTCGAGAGAACCTTACCGAGAGCAAAAACCCAGCTCTGAGGGAGAGAGCGTTACCGAGAGCCAATATACCAGGGGATCCCCCCCCCTGTCTCCCTCTCTCCAAAAAGAAAATTCCTCCTCATCTGCCAGTGTCTTTATGCTCGAAAACAGGATAGAAAAACCCAAAGACACCTCCTCCATACCCATATTTGTGGAAACTGGGCATGGCCTCTGATGTAAAGAACTGGACATGACCAGACATATTCTATGGCTCTGGCATAAGACACACCTTCCCATGTTTGTGTAAAAAGGACATGACCCCTACTCTGCAGGACTTGCAAAATATTATTCTCGGCTATGACATAACCACCCTTTTGGGGCCTCAATGTATTTCTCCTTAAGTCAGGAGCCCCCCTCCCTGTGTACCGCTGTGAGGGGAGAGGGAAGAAACTGCCTCTTCTCTTATCAGTGACACCCATAAACCATTATAGGCCTTACACACTCAACTTAACAAACCACTTGCTTTTTGTTTATACTGTAAATATAGAACATCATAAAATATGAAACATTTTCATTGTGGGTTATACAAGAATATAATTGATTATATTTGATTATAACTAACTTTCGTTTTAAGTATTCAACCTGATTTGGAGATCTCAACAGTAGGGAACAATTGTTCCTACATTTCAAATCATCAAGCAGGTAAATGACATTAGTGTCTCATCACAAACTATTGATGTTTAACAGAGAGAGACTCCCTCTGGTGGATGTTGTGCAGTATTGTGTTGTCTTTGCTCCAAAGGTTTTTGTACAGAGTGTTGGTGTTTCCTGTCACTGTGGGCTTCACAGCACAGTAGTACACAGCAGAGTCTGTCACTGCAGCAGAGGAGATCTGCAGATCCACTCGTTTCTTTCCTTCAGACAGGTCAGTGAAGAACCTGGTGTCCGATTTAAGTGATTCTGCTTTGTTTGTGAAATTAACCCCTGAGATAGACAGGAGGAACTCTGGTGGTTCTCCTGGATATTGTCGATACCAGAAGAAATAATCATCACCCGCTGCTTGTTTGGAGTATCTGTAGGACAGAGTAACAGTGCTGCCTTCTGGACTGAACTCTTCTGTTTTGACTGGAGTCAGATCTTCACAGCTGACGCCTGAGGGAAAGATTAACTCTGTTATTTCATGTTATAAAAGTCATTTTAGCAAAACCACACTCAGAAAGCAAGAGTGCAACAAACCTAATAAGATTGCAAACAATATCAGAGAAAAAGCTGAGTTCTGCAGGGACAGCATGTTGAATGAAGGTGATGATGATGGTCTGTGTTGAACTCTGGTGAATATGGAAGTTCCTCTCTCTTCTATAGTTCAGGAACATCTTAGCTCCTCCCTGAATCTCTCTGTCTCCTCTTAGATCTGTATTTCACTTCTCTCTGTTTTGTTTTCTTCATGTTATCACGTGTGTGTCGTCTGCATAGCTTTGGTAACTTATTTCATTGTTATCCATAAACTAAGCTATTGGAAGCATGTAGATGTAAAAGGGAAGAGTCCCCAGGATGGAGCCTTGAGGAACCCCACAGGTCATATTCGTCAACTCAGCTGTGTAGTTAACTATAAGTAGGATTCAGACCAATACAAACAGTGCCAGAGTCCCACCCAGTTTTCCAGTCGGTCTAGTAATATGTTGTGTTCAACAGTTTCAAATGCAGCGCTGAGAACTAATAATACTGACACTGAGATTCTGCCACTGTCCGTGTTTAAGTGGATGCCATTAAAGACCTTAACAAGAGCAGACTCAGTGCTGTGTGACTGGAACACATCAAAACAGTTATTTAGTTCCAATACAGTTGTTTAGCTGTTGAAAACAAGTTTTTCAATTATTTTACCCGGCCTATAAATGTTCATCAGTGAAGTGGTTTGATGACTGCAGTTTTCAGGGCCTGTGGGAATAAATATGAATAACAGGAAGTGTTGGTGAAGGTCCATCAGGAGTCTGGCACATGGTGGAATGCTCTCATTAAAAAGTATTAGAATAAATGTCAGAGATAAATTAAAGTAACGTGGTGTTGAAGCATCAAATTAAAGGATGCCTTTTCCTTCCTGGGGTTTGAGTTGTTTGAACATTAGTTGTGTTGTTTCCCTAAAGTCTAACAGAGAGAGACTCCCTCTGGTGGATGTAGTGCAGTACTGTGTTGTCTTTGCTCCAAAGGTTTTTGTTCAGAGTGTTGGTGTTTCCTGTCACTGTGGGCCTCACAGCACAGTAGTACACAGCAGAGTCTGTCACTGCAGCAGAGGAGATGCTCAGATAGATCTGGGTTTTATCCTCATCCGATTTAACGGACAGTCGAGAGTTTGATGAAGGTGTTGTTCCCAAGTGAAGGATGAGGAACTCTGGTGGTTTTCCTGGATATTGTCGATACCAGTAGAAATAATCATTAGCTGCTATAGTTTTGGAGTATCTGTAGGACAGAGTAACAGTGCTGCCTTCTGGACTGAACTCTTCTTGCTTTGATGCAGTGAGATCTTCACAGCTGACTGGAGAGAGGAGTAATTCAAAGTAATCATTTAATAAATCGCATTAAATTAATCTGTAATTCAACTTTTTTGCGCAGAATGTTACATACCTCTTAGAACGGACACTAAAAATAAAAAAATGAAACAATTATCTAATGACAGCATGTTGAATGAAGGTGATGATGATGATGGTCTGTGTTGAACTCTGGTGAATATGGAAGTTCCTCTCTCTTCTATAGTTCAGGAACATCTTAGCTCCTCCCTGAATCTCTCTGTCTCCTCTTAGATCTGTATTTCACTTCTCTCAGTTACCCTTCCTCCTGGGTAACAGATCCAAAGGCAGTCTGTACATTAAAAAGTCAGAGGACCTAGGATTGAACCCTGTGGTACACCACGATAACTCACAGACCAACAGATAATTGTGTTTTATAAAGATAAGAACAAAAGTAATCAAAACTTGAGTGTGTGATGTGTACCAGTTTATTGAGAGAGGTGATTTAAAGTGTTTGATCAGTCAGTAAATAAAAACGTAATAATAACAATGACGGGCGTTAACGTGAAGTCAGATTAGTGAGAGGTGCTTCATCGAGAGAGAAATCTGTTTAAAATTATCTTAAAGGGCCCATGTCATGGCCATATCCACTGATCATAATTACATTGTTGAGGTATACTAAAATAGATTTATACTGTGCAATTTTCGCATACAGCATCTCTGTCAAGTATGTGTATTCAGCAGTATTCACTCTCTCCACTAAACGACTCGTTGGAGCTCTTGCCCCCCCCTCCCTGTGAGCCTAGTGTGCTTCGATTGGTCAGCTCGGCCACTCTGTTCTGATTAGTCAACCACCAGAGAGGCTCCGCCCGCTTTTTTCGGGGAACATCAGACTTATAATGGCGTCGGTACAGCCGTATATTTTATACGCTAACTAACCGAACTGTACCTACAACTGTTGTTATAGAAGAGTGTGACGGCCCCAGGGCCTTTGTGCAGGTGTGTTGCAGGTCTTACGGTGGGGTGGAGCTGAAGAGGCTAATCAGCGCGATCACGGACACCTCCGTAGCTGAGGTGCTATTAAGCCCAGCGGCCCGTCTCTCTCCAAAGCGGCTCGGCGATTCTCTCCCCTCGACCACCTATCTCTGCATTTACCACAATAAATGTGCCGTGGTTTTGTAAACTCGTGTATGTCTCCTTGTCTTTCCGTTGTGGCCTACGAGCCGGTCATAACAAAGAGTAAGTTATTTTTACCTGTAATAAACTACTACTGTTTGATGAGAAATCAAATCATGGTTTGCTATATATGAATGATATGTTATAGGAGCAAATCATTCAGGGAAGAAAGGATAGGCCTACTAAGTATTTCCATTAAACTTTATTTTTAGAAATGTACAAAATGAACATAAATATACATATAGATAGATAGATAGATAGATCGTACTTTATTGATCCCAAATCGGGAAATTGTTCTTGTTACAGCAGCATACACACGGTATATCATCCATTCCTCCCCGCATCTTGCCTGGGCGCAGCCGGTGCCTTTTAGGACGAGGCCTAAGTGGTAGTAGTCCCGTCCCCATCATGGATTGTCCGCCAGGATCTGGCTGGACGAAATCAAATGCAAATCACAAAATATTAGAGAAACTTAGTTGTTTTAGATTCGTTAGTAGTAGTTGTGGTAGGAGTGTGGATCTATCTAATGAACAGCTTGCCAGCTAATATGCTAACCTAGCTTTATTGTTTACTTTGGTAGCTAACACGATATGAACGCTAGCTCGGAGGAACGGCCGATGAAGGCACGCGGGCCGATGAAGGCACGGGTGACGTTCGAAACCGCCGAGGCGAGGGAAGAGGCGAGACGGGGTCCAGAAGCGCGCCACACACGGGCCGAAGAAGGCGAGTGTGACGTCCGAAACCGCCGTCGAGGTGGTGAAACAGCGAGAGGGTCCACACGAGGCCGACCAGACATGGTCGAACCTCTTCTCAGGCACCAGAAAAAAAAACTCAAAAGGGTCGTCCTGTCCACGAACAAAAACAGGTGGGCGAAATAGCGAGAGGATCCACACGAGGCCGACCAGACGTGATCGAACTTCCTCTCCGGCACCACAAAAAACAAAAACAAAACAGTCGGATGTCGATAGCTGCTGGTAGCTGCTAGTCACCGTCAGCCGTTGCTAGCAGTCGTCGTTAGCCGTAGGTAGCAGCTAGCCGTTAGCAGTCGTGGCTATCCGGTCTCGACGGCCGGTAGTCGCTGGCCGGACATGCAGCCGCATGTCCCGAATAAACCCGGCACGGTCGTGTACCAGCTCCATGGAAGGCTTGCAGTCCCCCAGAGCCGAAAAGCCGTGGAAATGGCGAGCGTCGTCCGCGTCCATTCCGTGGGGCGCACCGAGCCACAGTCCGAGCGCACGTGGCAGCTACGGAGGTCTCCAAAAATCCCCGGCATTTCGAGAAAAGCTGCGCTTTTTGCCGTGTTCGATTCAGTCTCGGATCCTTCGCGAGACTTATGTCAGGGTCACCAATGTAGTGCCGAAAGAAGGGAGACGGAGGCGGTGCATCGGAGGTGCAAATCTCTCTTTATTGAGGAGCAGAAATCGACATGCTGTCGGGTCTCAGGATGAGAGGATAAGAGAAAGTGCAAGAGACACACACACCGTAGGTACCCCGGAGGTACCGTCAAGATATGTGTCCGTGCGAAACAATACCCCCAACCTGTAGTTCCATGATTGGATTATGTAACCCCAGTGTATGAATCAGTGATCACTACAGTGTAATAAAACTACTATGAACAAAAGCTAGCGGTTCATATTAGGCTAGCAATAACGTGTTTATAATTGCAATCTTATACGGGTATTCTGCTACGTTCGGTCATACATTGTAACTTGCATGAATACATTGTTTTGCGCTAGCATACAGCTAGCCTCGTTAGCTATACATGCAGTATGTACATGTACTGTCACAATGTACGGTAAATCACCCGGAGTATACTGTATGAGTATTCCGTGTGTGTGACTGCAGACATTCTCCTGCCATGACAAACATGTAAGGCCATCTGCTGACATTGTAGTTGATATATTTAAACGCCAGCAACGTAGCATAACAAAAATGTTTTTCCGACCAAACCTAGGTCTAGCTCCGTCGGTTAGATCGGTAGCATACACGCTACGCCAGCTATAATGTAATTACGTTTCGCGACTGACCGCACGGCAAATCACCCGGAGTATACTGTCAATAGGTATTTTGTGTGTGAATGCAGACATTCTCCTGCTATGAGATACATGTATGCAAGGCCATCTGCTGATATTAGAGTTGATATATGGAAACGCTAGCAACTTAGTTAGCACAGTTAGCACTGTGTCAATGGCTTAGCAGTCCAACACAGTTTACACATTTAAACAGTCTTGTTTGATAAATACACAAATAACAATGCAAACTTACAGGTTGTGTACCCGAATCTTCCCCTGCTCCAAACGGTCCAAACAAGCTGTGCATATCCGGCCTCAAACTGGGCAATGTTTTGGAAGCTTTCGTCTGTGAAATGCCGGTTCTTCGAACCTCTGAAGGAACAGTGTTAAAAAGAAATTTCAACCACTGACTTCGTCGTGGTTCTTCCGTCGGTAGGACAAACAGCTCAGATTTCTCCTCACATTTCAGGAAACAGGTCCTTGGCATTGGCATGAATGGATCGATTGTGAACTGAACCAGAGCTTCCAACAGTAAATGTTAGGCTGGCAGAGGGTGCGGCCAGCGCCGCTGGGTGTGGCCATAGCTCTTCGGGATTGGTCCATTTCGTTCCGGGTACCGCATGACATCATGCCGTACCCGGAACTAAATGGAAGACTCAAATGATGATCTCCAGATCAACTCGTTTCCCTGTTTTGTCAATGTGAGCAGAGAAATCAGATTCAGTGGGATGGATCCCTCCTGCCTCTGTGATGTAGAGCAGGAACTCTGGTCTGGATCTCTGGTATTGTCGGTACCACCAGACCATAGTATAAATCAGCTGCCTCCAGATAGTCTCTCAAAAGCATCTCCTGCTCTGTTGAGAACACCTTATTTGGTGTCCAGTAGCCTACTCTTGGGGGTGTTTGTGATCCCTGACTCTCCAACCTCAGCCTCTTTGTATGGAACCGGTACAGGGTGACATGGCATATATCCAGGGACTTTGCCACTTCCCTGAATGATTTGCCCTACTCAACTTCATTTGAGGCCCTCTGCAGCAGAGCAAGTGGCACTCCCCTGTCTGTCTTCCTCTTTCTGACATTTGGCATACTGTAAACACACACACACACACTTTAGGCCTACTGTACAGTATTTTATTCTGTTTATTTTTACAGGGACAATGCACACCAATCAACAATACAACTGTATGCTTGAATGAACAATTGATCATTCAAGCAAATGAGCCATCATTGTAAATGTGCCATGTTACAACCGTCCCGTTACAACCGTCCCAGGACCACCAGTCTTGCTTTCACCCCCTGTGAACCTGCCTGATTGCGAGCTTGACCCATATTTAGCTAGTTATATTTGTAGCTTACAAAACAGTGATTCTAATAATACTAGTTTGGATTCCTAGACATTTGAACTCAAGACAGTATCCAAAAAATACATCATATAATTATAGTTAATATTTTACCTCAGAAACACACTTTTGCTGATATCTTACGCGAGAAATTCAAACGTGGCTCCTTTTTTTCTCAGCGATCTTACCATCTATCTGCGCATGTGCAGACTGAGTTTTATCACTCTAGCTTGTTTGTGATTGGAGATATTGAAGGTGTTACAACCGACCCGTGTTGCAACTGTCCCTGGTCTCCCCTACACAGCAGAGTCTGTCACTGCAGCAGAGGAGATCTGCAGATCCACTCGTTTCTTTCCTTCAGACAGGTCAGTGAAGAACCTGGTGTCCGATTCAAGTGATTCTGCTTTGTTTGTGAAATGAACCCCTGAGATAGACAGGAGGAACTCTGGTGGTTCTCCTGGATATTGTCGATACCAGAAGAAATAATCACCACCGGCTGCTTGTTTGGAGTATCTGTAGGACAGAGTAACAGTGCTGCCTTCTGGACTGAACTCTTCTGTTTTGACTGGAGTCAGATCTTCACAGCTGACGCCTGAGGGAAAGATTAACTCTGTTATTTCATGTTATAAAAGTCATTTTAGCAAAACCACACTCAGAAAGCAAGAGTGCAACAAACCTGATAAGATTGCAAAACATATCAGAGAAAAAGCTGAGTTCTGCAGGGAGAGCATGTTGAATGAAGGTGATGATGATGGTCTGTGTTGAACTCTGGTGAATATGGAAGTTCCTCTCTCTTCTATAGTTCAGGAACATCTTAGCTCCTCCCTGAATCTCTCTGTCTCCTCTTAGATCTGTATTTCACTTCTCTCTGTTTTGTTTTTTTCATGTTATCACGTGTGTGTCGTCTGCATAGCTATGGTAACTTATTTCATTGTTATCCATTAACTAAGCTATTGGAAGCATGTAGATGTAAAAGGGAAGAGTCCCCAGGATGGAGCCTTGAGGAACCCCACAGGTCATATTCGTCAACTCAGTTGTTTAGTTACCTATAAGTAACATTCAGACCAATACAAACAGTGCCAGAGTCCCACCCAGTTTTCCAGTCGGTCTAGTAATATGTTGTGTTCAACAGTTTAAAATGCAGCGCTGAGATCTAATAATACTGACAGTGATATTCTGCCACTGTCCGTGTTTAAGTAGATGTCATTAAAGAAGTTAATTAGAGCAGTCTCAGTGCTGTGTGACTGGAACACAACAAAACAGTTATTTAGTTCCAAAACAGCTTTTTAGCTGTTGAACTTTTTCAATTATTTTAACCGGCCTATAAATGTTCATCAATGAAGCCCCTAGGTTTGTCTTTAAGAGTTGTTTGATGACTGCAGTTTTCAGGGCCTGTGGGAATAAATATGAAAAAGGAGACGTGTTGGTGAAGGTCCATCAGGAGTCTGGCACATGGTGGAATGAACTAATTGAACATTATTAGGATAAATGTGAGAGATAAATTAAAGTAACGTGGTGTTGAAGCATCAAATAAAAGATGCCTATCTGCTGGTGGTAGAACTGTTTGAGAATATCTTGTGTTGTTTCCCTAAAGTCTAACAGAGAGAGACTCCCTCTGGTGGATGTTGTGCAGTACTGTGTTGTCTTTGCTCCAAAGGTTTTTGTACAGAGTGTTGGTGTTTCCTGTCACTGTGGGCTTCAGAGCACAGTAGTACACAGCAGAGTCTGTCACTGCAGCAGAGGAGATGATCATATTGATTCGTTTTGACTCCATTTGCTTTTTAGTCACTGTAATATTCAGTCCAGGGATTGGGTTAGTTCCTACTTGGCCAGAAGGAGAGTGTGAGATGAGGAACTCTGGTGGTTTTCCAGGATATTGTCGATACCAGAAGTAATAATTAGCATTAGATCCAGCTTTGTAGGACAGAGTAACAGTGCTGCCTTCTGGACTGAACTCTTCTGTTTTGACTGGAGTCAGATCTTCACAGGTGACGCCTAAGGGAAAGAATAACTCTGTTATTCAATGTTATAAAAGTCCTTTTAGCAGAACCACACTCAGAAAGCAATGACACTGATGTTTTATCCCGAGTGTAACTAACCGGATAAGATTGCAAAAAATATCAGACAAAATGCTGAGTTCTGCAGGGACAGCATGTTGAATGAAGGTGATGATGATGGTCTGTGTTGAACTCTGGTGAATATGGAAGTTCCTCTCTCTTCTATAGTTCAGGAACATCTTAGCTCCTCCCTGAATCTCTCTGTCTCCTCTTAGATCTGTATTTCACTTCTCTCAGTTACACTTCCTCCTGGGTAACAGATCCAAAGGCAGTCTGTAAATAAAAAGTCAGAGGACCTAGGATTGAACCCTGTGGTACACCACATGAAATCAAAGACTGACAGAAAAACAGAAACACTTATTTTAAGTTCGTGGAGACTACATTATATTTAAACCTGTGAGAAAAAGGCCAGATTCACTGATTGATTTAAACATTTGAACCTGTGGATGTGACTCAAAGGCAGTACATGTGTTGTATGGTAGTGAACAATAGTTCATACATTTCAAATGATCAAGCAGGTAAACTAAATGATTGTATCCTCACAAACTATTGATGTTTAACAGAGAGAGACTCCCTCTGGTGGATGTTGTGCAGTATTGTGTTGTCTTTGCTCCAAAGGTTTTTGTACAGAGTGTTGGTGTTTCCTGTCACTGTGGGCGTCAGAGCACAGTAGTACACAGCAGAGTCTGTCTCTTTAGCTGAGATGATCTCCAGATCAACTCGTTTCTCTGTGTTGTCAATGTGAGCAGAGAAATCAGATTCAGTGGGATGGATCCCTCCTGCCTCTGTGATGGAGAGCAGGAACTCTGGTCTGGATCTCTGGTATTGTCGGTACCACTGGATATTGTAGATAGCCCCCTCATATTTACATGTCAGGCTGATGTTTCTGCCCTCTGCAACATGTTCTTCACTTCTTTCTGGCTTTATGCTGTTCATGGAGCCCAGGGCTGCAAAATGAGAATTATTCATGTCAGTTAGTCTGCAGGAGATTTTAACATTAAGAGACTCAACGGAGGGTCTTCAATTTCCTGTCATCTTTGATCAGTTTGAGATCAAACATGACCAAATGTCTTCATAGATCACAACGGTTGCTGCCTTACACAATAAAACCTCCAGTTATGAAATCTCTGGCTAATACAACGGGTTAAATGAGACTTTATCTCTGTTCCAACACTCACCTATGAAGAGAGAGAAGAGTAACCAGAGGTAAAGCAACATGTCTTTGGAGATGGTAAAGTCGAACAGTCAGCAGATGAGTTCTCCTCCTGCAGAAGTGAAGCAGGAAACAGCCTCTCTGCTGCTCAGCCCTTCTCCTCAACATCAGATGATTGTGCTTTTAGTTCCTCAAACATCTCACAAATCATCTCATTGGTTGATATAAACGTCAGTGGGCGGGGCCAGAGAATCATGTTTTACTCGTTTTAAACCATCAAAATACTTTTCTGACATTTAAATCATTTAGTTCTCTTTGTGTTTCTCACTGACTCATACATTGAAATGTACAAAAACTTAGCAATTACAATGACAGGCGTTAACGTAATCCGTGTATCTACCGTCCATTGGTTTTTCTTTATTAAACAAGTAAACGGAAGAGCATCTGAGAGGCCTTTTTGCTTTTTACCTTACTAAATGGTCTAAAGCAGCGGTTCTCAAACTGTGGCCCGCGAGGGTACTGCAGGTGGTCCGTGGAAAAAAGCTAAATAAAATCCACTTTTTATTATCAAGGATTTTCGGGGACCACCTCATAAGTGACTTGCTCTATCGAAATCAGTCGCATTGACCCGAAGACACATTTTGAGTTGTATACACTGTTGGAAAGAGGAGATTCCTAGCTTTCTAATCAGTGGTGTAGTGGGCCACTTATTTGGAGCATGATCTTTTTTTTAATAGTCTAATAAATATAAAATCATTGCCAGTGTTATCAGTTGCAAGTATGTATTTGTTGTAATAATGACAAAAACAGTAATTATAATAAAAAATAAAAACGATTTCCTTAAAAAATTATGATTCGTCAGCACGCTCGTGACCCCGCGGCGAGCTGGGGGTGTGTCAGTGACACACCCACGGCGAGCCACCTCGCCGCCCGCCGATTTTGCGGCAGCTCTTTCCCTCAAGAACGCTAACGTAAAAGCTCTATAATGGCAGGCAAACATTTTTTACTTGACTTCTTTTCTAAAAAGAATATAATTCACAAGAAGAAAGAGGCTAGCAGCACCGAAGCTACAAGTGAAGCTGCTACTAGTACTACATCATCAGAAGAGCCGCCTAAAGACGTGGATAATGCTAGCACTAACGTTAACGTTCGCTGCGCTAGCAACGTTCCCCTGGCTCAAGCTCACCTTTGGTATGGACGGAGGAGATGTGGCGGAGGAAATACCCGTGGATAGACTGCAAAGCTGTGTGTGTGTGTGTGTGTGTGTGTGTGTGTGTGTGTGTGTGTGTGTGTGTGTGTGTGTGTGTGTGTGTGTGTGTGTGTGTGTGTGTGTGTGTGTGTGTGTGTGTGTGTGTGTGTGTGTGTGTGTGTGTGTGTGTGTGTGTGTGTGTGGGTGGGTGGGTGGGTGGGTGGGTGTGTGTGTGAAGCAGCGCTGTCTGCTTATTTGCAATGTAGGCTAGGCCTAATCAGAATAATTTCAAGTCCAGATTCAATGTTGTTTGCATAAGTAGGCTATATTTTTCGTTTCGTTTATTTAATAAGTTAATTTCAGGACAACTTTTGTTTGTTTGTTTTGAGATTTAAATAGATTTTGAAAGTGGAGAGAGAGAGAGAGAGAAGCAGCGCTGTCTGCTTAGTTGCAATACTGTAGCTCAAGCATTTATGCAACTTAGGCCTATACATTGTTTATGTTACTTATATGCCTGTGTGTCCATGGTTTTGAGTCTGTGTGTGTTGAGCGCAGCGCCGTCTGCTTTTTGCAGTACAGTAACTAAAGTAGGACTAATAAAACTTCTTAATAAAACTGACACTGTTGGACTCAGTAGTTGACTGCTACCAGAAATAAAATGAAGTGCTTTTATGGTGTACTTTGTGAGTAATCCTCTGTCAGAGTCCCCACCATAGTACATAATGCATGTTTTCTGCTATCTTTGATGAGTGATAAAAAGACAATTTTACCATTAGTTCTTAATGATAATAGGCGCGTTCACACCAAGTACTTTGCCGTATTTAGTGCCGGCACTCAGTGCGCCGGCACTTATTACCCCAGGGCATTTAGTACAGATCGCGTTCACACCGGAGTACTTTTACCTGAGGGAAGATTACGCAAATGAGCCGCTGACGTCACTTCGTCTTCTTCTGCTTTGGGTTTACTGACAGGCCGCAAACCACTTCACGGCGTATACTGCCACCCGGAGTCCCCGGCCGGAAGTCCCCGGAGTTGGGGAAGGCTTCAGTAGAAGCTGCTGGGACTCCCAGCAGCTTCTACTGAAGCCTTCAGAGTAAATCGCCAGAACGCCGACACCTCCTCATTTCCACCACTCCCATGTTTTATTTTGTGTTGCCATAAGTTAGTCTCTCTGCGTTTGTGCACTGGGCGAATGCTAATGCTAATAATGCTAATGCCAGGATAATAAAATGGCAGCTCTACAAAACATTTCAGAGTTGTACGGGGCGTGGTTTGCAATTCGCCCAGCCAGTCAGAACTGGGGCACTTTTTTCCCCCAGGAAAGTACCATCTCTCAGCAGGCACTAAAAATGGGGGTAAAAGTTCCAGAGATGAAGTGCTCTTTTTGGTGTGAACGCGACATAAGGGGTACTAACAGAACTAAACGCGAAAAGTACGGCGAAAAGTACGGTGAAAAGTACTCCGGTGTGAACGCGGCTATTGATAGTGCTGGACTCAGTAGTCTTACATCTACTACCACAATACAATGAAGTACTTCTAGTGTGTTGTTTAAAAAAAATCCTCTGTCAATGTCCCCTCCTGAGAACAAAATCAAGCCACTTCTGCTCAGTTTGATGAGGGAAAAAATTATTGTTGCCATTAGTTCTTCGTGAGATTGATCCTGTTGGACTCAGTACTAGTGAAACTACTCCCACAAGAACTATGAAGTACTTTTACTGTGTACTCTTTGAGTAATCCTCAGTCAATGTCCCCTCCTGAGTACAAGAATGCATGTTTCTCTGCTATTTTGAATCAGCATTAAAAATCCTTTCTTCATGAGACTGATATTGTTGGACAGAGTATTTTAACCTGTTAAGCCCGAGAGACCCCGGTACCGGGGCACTGCCGCAACATCTTGCAGGAAACAGTGTCTGAGGGCATGTTCATTTAATAAACTATGAATGTTTTATATCCATGTAACGGGAAGAAACTCATCTAACTGATCATTTTTTTTTTTTTTTTAAAAAGAAAACCCACAATGCTAACGCTGAGCCTCTGAATTAGCAACGAGCGAAAAATGCTAACACCTTACTGCACCGAAGATCACTCACAAAACCTTATTATTTATCTTTTCACTACATCCAACACATCGATTCACATCGTGAGGTGACACAGAATCTATTGACACCCACATTATTACTGAATTATACGTATTTGTGACGTTATAAGCAAAAACGGACATCAAAACAGGTGACGCTAGGTAGCTAAAAATGCTAACATTTTTACCTTGGCTCTGTAGTCTCTCCAAAGTGGTCTTCAATGGCATTAAAACGATAAAAACGCTGCTGAAGTTAATCCATAGGTTAATCCAATGTGTCTGTGTCACTTTGAAATGATTTCTGATAATCCATAAGCATTAAAACTGCTTTTCCGTTTCCAGATGTCAAAGCTAGAGATAGGTTCACTCTGATTGAAAATTACATGCGCAAAGCCCCCACCTTTTCGTTTCACAATGAGTGTGTGTGGGGGACTCCCCCTTCGATTCAATAGAGAGGCGAAGTCCCACCCATCTACTTCCGACCCATGGGACCTTATTTCGGAAAAATTATGCATTGAAGTCAATGGAGAGAGAAAGATTATCTTTCGATCCCGTTTGAATTGTGCCACGAATTACACATATGATGTTTGTCAATCTTAAATAATAATTTCCATGTCAAAAAAGTCACAGTTTGTCGTAAAACTGTTGAAATATAAGACTATGAAAAATACGCAACTAGAAAGACTACAAATCCCAGAGTCCCGGTCCCGCATGCTGGCTCTTACGAACCGACTCACTCCCCTTGTGTGTATGTACAGCTCTCAACATGCCCAGCCTTGTAGTGATTTTCACCTCTTTTAATACTTTCCGCCTCATTCTGAAAGAAAGAAGTGAAATGTGCCAACGTGACGGCCGTCTTGGTGTGTGGTGCGAGACAGGAGAAGTAGGTCATTGAGCGGTTCACACCAAAAAAAGTTTTACTTCACAGTTTTACGACACATTTTTATTTTTTTTACTTGCAAAATTATCTTTTAAATTGACAAACATCATATGTGTAATTCATGGCTCAATTCAAACGGGATCAAAAGATAATCTTTCTCTCTCCATTGACTTCAATGCATAACTTTTCCGAAATAAGGTCCCATGGAGGTCCACCGGAAGGGGAGGGACTTCGCCTCTCTATTGGCTCTTACGGTCAGAAAGAGGTGTCAACCATCAAAATCGAGCAAGTGGGGCCAGAGATATGGAAAATCCACCCAAATGACCCCAGAAGTGGTTTCTTTTTGCTAAATCTCTCTAAAAAGGTCAAATGTCACTTGTTTTGCATCAATCTTGATACAGGGTACTTATTATATGTTGTACTTTGGATTCCTAAAGCTTTTAGTCTACTAACCCATCATCCAAGGGTAGTTTTCACAATAAGTACAAAATAATTTTTGGACGGACACTATAATTACAGTTTTTTACTATGTAAAATCTGAATTTTCTTTAAAATAAAAAACATCTATATTGATTCTGACTTTTCTACATCCAACTCACAGGTTTATCATTACTTTGAGAAAAAAGATTATTCATTTAACCCTTTTAGAAGGGAAGATATGGTCATTTGTTCTGGGAATGTCATTTTCAAGCCTGAGACCTGAAAAACAGGCTCAGGGCTTAACAGGTTAAGAGGATATGGTAGACATGATATCAGCAATACTTCCAGTCAGTACTCCGGCAGCAGCATTTTTACATCTTGGAAAGTCTTTAGAGTCTGGCCTTCAGCAAAGTGACAAACCCTTGTGACTCTTGTTGGCCTCTTATGACAATGCTGTCTTTTAAATAGGATTATTTATCTGCTCCTAGTTCAATCCTCACAGATTCTTCCATCAGTCCCAGTCATTGCATTTCAGTCAATAGAGACTCAAAAAATGTGTCCAATTCAACGAAATGTTTTTTTGTGAGTGAAGGCCAGAGCTAAATTATAGATTGTTTGATTGTGTAATTACAAGGTGAGAGAAAATAAATCCACATCCTCCTATTAAACGTATTTTATTTCCTTTTCCATGTTATAGTACTTATACTTACTTGTATTAGAACATTTGCATGTTGAACTGCTGGATATCTTCCCCAGCCTCAAGGAAATACAATAAAATAAATGGATTCATAATAAAAAAATAATAATAATGTAGCAGAGGAGATCTGCAGAGGAACTGATGTCTTGTTGAGTGCAGCATCAAATCTGTCTTCCTTGAACTCTTCAGCATTATCTCCAGTTCTTAAGAAACGCATCAGCATGTACTTTGGGTAACCATTGACTTCTTGTTTGTACCAGAACAGATAGGCTGTCTTAGATGTCTGAAATGTGCAGCCAAGTGTAACTGTGTCTCCTTCAGTAGCGCTGACATCTCCTGCTGGCTGGGTCACTGTGTCTTGTCCTTTACACTCTGGGGAAGAAGAGACCATGCAGAGGAAGAGATGAATCAATAAAGACGATGGATTAAAGGAGAACAATCAGTAGCTTTAAACAGTTACCTAGAAACATGTTGTAGTTTCTATCTTACCAAAGGAGAGAGCAGCAAGAATAATCCACAGCCAATGTTCCATCTCTACAACAAGGTTTAAATCAGCAGCAGGAAGTAGCTGATGTTCAGCATTCAGTGTGAGGATGGTTCTCTTCACAGCAGCACTTCTTATTGACTGGATGGTTGAACACAGTGCAGAAGACGTGCACCGCCTACTTGATAATGTGGCCCTCTAGTGGAGGTGAACAGCTCAGTACAACAGTGTGGAGAAAAGGCTTCCAGCAGCTTGTCAGTGTGTCAGCTGGTGTTTGTGTACAGAGTGTTGGTGTTTCCTGTCACTGTGGGCCTCACAGCACAGTAGAACACAGCAGAGTCTGTCACTGCAGCAGAGGAGATGCTCATATTGATTTGGTTTGACTCCACTGTAATATTCAGTCCAGGGATCAGATTATTCATAATGTTTCCAGTTCCTAAATGAGAGAAGATGAACTCTGGTGGTTTTCCTGGATATTGTCGATACCAGTAAAACTCATCACCAGCAGTTGCTTGTTTGGAGTATCTGTAGGACAGAGTAACAGAGCTGCCTTCTGGACTGAACTCTTCTTTCTGTAATGCAGTGAGATTTTCACAGCTGACCCCTGAAGAGAGGAGTAATTCAAAAGACTCAGTTAATAGATCACATTTGATCAACATTAGAAGTTAACGTTTTCATGCAGAATGTTACGTACCTCTTAGAATGGAAACTAACAGTAGGGAATGTAAATAATAGTCTAATGACAGCATGTTGAATGAAGGTGATGATGATGGTCTGTGTTGAACTCTGGTGAATATGGAAGTTCATCTCTCTTCTATAGTTCAGGAACATCTTAGCTCCTCCCTGAATCTCTCTGTCTCCTCTTAGATCTGTATTTCACTTCTCTCAGTTTCTTTTTTCATGTTATCACGTGTGTGTCGTCTGCATAGCTGTGGTAACTTATTTCATTGTTATCCATTAACTAAGCTAGTGGAGGCATGTAGATGTTAAAGGGAAGAGTCCCCAGGATGGAGACTTGAGGAACGCCACATGTCATATTCGTCAACGCAGTTGTTTAGTTACCTATAGAAACAACGTTTTTCCTGTCTGTTAAGTAGCATTCAGACCAATACAAACAGTGCCAGAGAGTCCCACCCAGTTTTCCAGTCGGTCTAGTAATATGTTGTGTTCAACAGTTTAAAATGCAGCGCTGAGATCTAATAATACTGACAGTGAGATTCTGCCTCTGTCCGTGTTTAAGTGGATGCCATTAAAGACCTTAACAAGAGCAGACTCAGTGCTTTGTGACTGGAACACATCAAAACAGTTATTTAGTTCCAATACAGTTGTTTAGCTGTTGAAAACAAGTTTTTCAATTATTTTAACCGGCCTATAAATGTTCATCAGTGAAGTGGTTTGATGACTGCAGTTTTCAGGGCCTGTGGGAATAAATATGAATAACAGGAAATGTTGGTGAAGGTCCATCAGGAGTCTGGCACATGGTGGAATGCTCTCATTAAAAAGTATTAGAATAAATGTGAGAGATAAATTAAAGTAACGTGGTGTTGAAGCATCAAATTAAAGATGCCTCTCTGCTGGAGGTTGAGTTGTTTGAGCATTAGTTGTGTTGTTTCCCTAAAGTCTAACAGAGAGAGACTCCCTCTAGTGGATGCTGTGCATGATTGTGTTGTCTTTGCTCCAAAGGTTTTTGTACAGAGTTGTGGTGTTTCCTGTCACTGTGGGCTGCAGAGCACAGTAGTACACAGCAGAGTCTGTCACTGCAGCAGAGGAGATCTGCAGATCCACTTGATTTCTCTCCAAGTTCAGTGTGGCATTCAGTCGAGGGATTGGAGGTTTTGCTTCCACCACGTAAGGCTGTGTTGTGTCAGTGATCAGGAGGAGGAACTGAGGAGCTGATCCAGGATCCTGTCTGTACCACTGGAGGTTATTGGCTTTAACTGAATATGTACAGGACAGAGTAACACTACGGCCCTCTGAGGAACACACTTCAGCACTGATGGCAGTAATATCATCTTCCAAGCTGTTACCTAGTGAGGAAAACATCATGCTATCATTACAGCTCCAAAGTCACAAACCCATCAATTCCTTAGTGAAAAAACAACACTCCTGTAAAGCGTTTATCCAAAATCCAAACTGGATGTGTAATGCTTTGAAAAAGTCTTCATATTTCCCCTTCTCCTGTCAGAAACATACGTACCTATGAGAGCTGAACAGAGCAGAATTGCAGCCAGTTTCTCCATGTTCACAGAGGGGAAAGCTGTGGTTGTTCAGTATGGAAACGTTTAGTGAGTTGTGTTTGGTCTGATGTTCACAGCTGGAATCAGAGAGGTGTCAGTCATGAAGCTCTGCAGTCAGCAGGAGGAGACTCAGATGTCCAATGAGTTTCTGGAGCTCTTCATCACAGCTGTGAGTCTGAGAGAATCTAATCTAGACTGTATCATCACATCCTGCTGAAGGTGAACAGAGAGAGACTCCCTCTGGTGGATGTAGTGCAGTACTGTGTTGTCTTTGCTCCAAAGGTTTTTGTACAGAGTTGTGGTGTTTCCTGTCACTGTGGGCTTCACAGCACAGTAGAACACAGCAGAGTCTGTCACTGCAGCAGAGGAGATGCTCAGATAGACCTGGGTTTTATCCTCACTCACTTCAGCAGACAGTCCAGAAACTGGATTCAACATAATGTCTCCAGTTCCTAAATGAGAAAAGATGAACTCTGGTGGTTTTCCTGGATATTGTCGATACCAGAAGAAACCATCACCACCAGCTGCTTGTTTGGAGTATCTGTAGGACAGAGTAACAGTGCTGCCTTCTGGACTGAACTCTTCTTTCTGTAATGCAGTGAGATTTTCACAGCTGACCCCTGAAGAGAGGAGTAATTCAAAAGACTCAGTTAATAGATCACATTTTATCAACATTAGAAGTTAACGTTTTCATGCAGAATGTTACGTACCTCTTAGAATGGAAACTAACAGTAGGGAATGTAAATAATAGTCTAATGACAGCATGTTGAATGAAGGTGATGATGATGGTCTGTGTTGAACTCTGGTGAATATGGAAGTTCCTCTCTCTTCTATAGTTCAGGAACATCTTAGCTCCTCCCTGAATCTCTCTGTCTCCTCTTAGATCTGTATTTCACTTCTCTCAGTTACACTTCCTCCTGGGTAACAGATCCAAAGGTCTGTAAATAAAAAGTCAGAGGACCTAGGATTGAACCCTGTGGTACACCACGAGTAATCACAGACCAAAAGAGAATTGTAATGTATAAAGATAAGAACAAAAGCAATCAAATCTTGAGTGTGTGATGTGTACCAGTTTATTGAGAGAGGTGATTTAAAGTGTTTGATCAGACAGTAAAGAAGGAAAACGTGGCAATAACAATGACGGGCGTTAACGTGAAGTCAGATTAGTGAGAGGTGTTTCATCTAGAGAGAAATCTGTTGAAAATGATCTTAATCTAATAAGAATTTTACTTCATACCCAACATTGAAAAGGTCTTGAACACCACAACACAAGCTGCTGTTCCAATAGAACCTACGATCACATTGGGTTTCGAGATAAACTGAAACCAATGACAAAGTGAGAGGACCTTGGATTGAACCCTGTGGTACACCACATCAAATCACAGACTGACAGAAAATTAGAGACACTTATTTTTAGTTCATGGAGACTACTTGAATCCAGGCAGTACATGTGTTTCTATGGTAAAATTGTTCACAGATTTCAAATGATCAAGCAGGTAAACAACATTACTGTATCATCACTAACTGTTGATGTTTATCAACAGTTGAACTGTAATGTAGCATATTATTTTCCATGGCATTATTGTATGATCATATGTCAGATGAACAGAGGCCAGAGGCCTGTACTACGAAGCTGGATGTTCTCTTAGCTAAATTCAGGGAAATCTCGGGCTTTCCGGTCCTACGACGCTGGTTCTCTTTTTAGCAGGCTAGATTTCCATGGTAACTTATGCTGAGCGGCAAACCTGCTCCGGAGCAGGTTAGGTTGCAGGCTAACAGATCAACTCAGTGAAAGCACCGCCTGCTGACCAATCAGAGCTCCGTGTGCGGAGTTTAAAGCTATCAATTCATATTACAGGATAGAGGAAATACAGAAAAACTGCCGTTGCAGGAAAGACAGCCGGCAAAAATCAACTGACTGTGTGAACGTGAACATTAATAGAATATCCCCTCCCATCTTCAGAGCAATCTGACTATTATAATATTAGCGTTAAGAAAGCTTACTTAAATATCTGCCACGACATAAGTAACCGGATCAGAGTAACATTAAGTACAGTCCGCGGCACTGTGAGTGCAGACGTCGATATGTGCCATTATCATTCATATCATATCACATCATAATGTATCATATATTTCCTTATCTGAGTCAGCTGAGCCGTATCTGGCCGTGCAACACTCACAGTGTCACATACTGGATGCAGAAGTATTATTTTAAGCAACACATTAAATTGACGAAACACTCGAGTCAAATGTAATTAAAGTCAGATCCACTCGTGTCTTGGACGGGGCAGTGATTTCATAAACCTGTTAATGTACGCATTCAAACACTTTTTCTTTTACCAGCTGTATTCACCTTGCAGGTGCAGCTATGTGGCTTTTATCCTGGATAAAGTGTTTAAGACATGGATGTTTAAAGTTTAACTTCTTCATATTTGACTAATATTAAAGTTCACTTTTCATTCAGGAAGTATGACGCTGCGCTGTCAGTACGCTTGTCCGTGTTTGAGATTGGTCGAATGCTCCAAATACCACCCCTTTCATGTGAACGCGCACCTAACTAGATAGGGCACGCCTGGCTTGAGCGATCCACTTGATAACCAGCGTCGTAGTACAGCTTAGCGCCAGCGCGTATGTTTTGGCTTAGGCCAACCGGCTAACTCCAACATATCCAGGTTAAGTTGAACCAGCTTCGTAGTACAGGCCTCTGATGCCACTGGGCTTACAACTAAAGACACAGCCACGCAAAAACTGCGGCATGTGTACGCTAGGGATGACAGAAACTGACCATGATCAAATTCGAAAATCGGACAGCCCTGGCAAATATTAATCGATTATTATAAAAAAAAGTATTTTCGCAGAGCTTGCATTTTACTTCATTTGCACTTGTCAGTTCGAAGTAGTTCCACGAGGAACTCTTCTTTGAACGTGCCGCTTTGTTCATCTTTAGTTGTGTTGTTCTCACTGTTCTGGCGCGGTCGGTGTGTAGCAGTCTGCACTCTGCGCAGCCTGCACTGCTGGCTTCCTCCAAGTTTACAGTAAAATAAACTGGTGGTGTGACCAATGGCCATTTACAATTATTAATACTATTACTATTATTAGCATTAGTCTATATTTTGGTTGAAACTAAGCGAGGAAAAAAAAGAAAAACATAAATAATAATAAAAAAATATATAAATAAAATCGAATTTTAAAAATAATTTTCGATTATGGAGACTGTAACGAATATTCGAAAAATCAAATAATCGCTGGCATCCCTAGTGTACGCAGGGGCACCGTAAGGGGGTGAAAAGTTAGGACGATTCTGAGGGCCCGTGACTGACAGGGGCCCAAACAATTTGAGAACATTAAGAAAAAAATGTTTAAGCAACCAATGTGATTATCTTTTCATGGGGCTCCTTATGGGTACTGCAATTTTTGAAGTGCCGGAGCCGCGTTCCGGCAGCACTATACCCCGTAATGACACGTTACGCTTGTGTTGTGTTCAAGGAACCTGTCCATGGCCAGGAAAAACAGGCAGTCGCTTGTTTAATTCTGTTGCGGTCTAGATTTCTTAAATGTTTTGTTTCCTTCTGCGCTGCGTTGCGTGCATGTCTTCCTTCTGCAGGTAACGGGGAGACGCGCTCTGGCGGCGGTCTCGTTCAGGATCCGAAAATACAATTTAAATATTTTGCACACTTATTCTACTTATTCCTAGTGTGCCACTGGTTACGGTACCGCGTGCCACGTGCCTACGGTTACCGACCCCTGCCCTAGCTTGCTCTTCAAGAGTGGTTTGAAGACTGCAGATGTCAGGGCAAGTGGGAATAAATATGAAAAATAAGAAGTGTTGGTGAAGGTCCATCAGGAGTCTGGCACCTGGTGGACTGCACTCATAAAAAGTTATTAGGATAAATGTTTCAGATAAATTAAAGTAGCGTGGTGTTGAAGCATCAAATAAAGGATGGCTCTCTGCTGGTGGTTGAATTGTTTGAGAGTTTCTTGTGTTGTTTCCCTAAAGTCTAACAGAGAGAGACTCCCTCTGGTGGATGTTGTGCAGTATTGTGTTGTCTTTGCTCCAAAGGTTTTTGTACAGAGTGTTGGTGTTTCCTGTCACTGTGGGCTGCAGAGCACAGTAGTACACAGCAGAGTCTGTCACTGCAGCAGAGGAGATCTGCAGATCTGGGGTTACGTATTGTAACCCAGCTTCTATGAGTATAGGCGCAGCCCTCTAAGGCTATCGCTATTGGGTAATCCCACTGCATGTGTGCAGCACTGACAGACTTAATCCACGCCCACCTATGACGTGGGCCCCACCTACAGCCTCACTTCCGTATAAATAGGAAGTAGGCCCGACCATCTGCTCCCACGCAAACAGCTTTTCTTCAGCTATTCACGGAGCCAGTGGGGCCCGAACCTTAGAGGGCTGCGCCTATACTCATAGAAGCTGGGTTACAATACGTAACCCCAGTTCTATTTCGTATAAGGCTTCGCCCTCTAAGGCTATCGCTATTGGGTTAAGGGCGAAGCAGGATGTAGTCTACGCCCCACTGGTCCGTCCGTTACCAGGAGCACAAAAAACACACCTACTCAATTTAATAACCCATGTCCATTGCGCCATGCGTAATGGAGCATCACAGTCCCTGGAAATGTAGCATTTAAAATGAATATTCTCCATGAGGGAATGAAGGTGAATACCTGTCGTTATAAAAAGTAGAGACCCACTTGTTACAACGAAAAAAGAGAGGAAACAGGGCAGCTCTCTGAGTGCCGACAGGCAGGAGAGAGGGCACACAGTTGTGTCCCCGACATTACTCACTCTGACAGGACATTCAGTACTGAGTGTGTCAGAGAGACATCCCTCAAATAAAAACGAATAAAAGAACAGGGGGAAGACCAATGCAAATGTCTTCCACTGTCGGTCCTCCGTGCAACGCCGTAGAGGTTGATACAATTCCTCTGGTGCCGTGCGCTTGATGTTCTCCGGAGGATCCGCCCCAGAGGAGACATACGCCTGTGACACAGCCTCACACAGAACAGTGTGACAGGCGTTGTGCAGACAGAGGCTGCCCCATTGAGTGCTCTCTGTAATGCACAAACAGACGCTGGAAACTGCGCAACACAGCCTCGCATGCCGTATAGCATGACAGCGCGCGCACGGGACGGAGGAGATGAGATGTGGCTTCCTCCTCTGATGTGTGAGGAGGAGGAAAAAAACCCTCCAAAGTTATCACTCTTGATCTAAAAAAGAGACCTGTGATAATTTTTTGGCATAAA